CAGCATTGCATTTTGAGTAAAGAAAGATGATCTGATTTCGGTCTTTAGATTCAACATACACGTCCAAAGAAGAGCACAAACTGAAAACCAGGCCAGTTAAAGGTGCATTGGCGGGAATACAAAAGGCAAGTAAAACCAACACGCGGGGGAAGACCGCAAGAGAGTATAAGCCGTTGAGAGAAGAGAGCGCCGACGGGAAAAAGCGCCCGAAAGATGCGATGGCTGCACAATAATGAACAGCGCGGAGAAGAGAAGGAGAGCATGCAAGGACGAAGGCGGACGTCTCAAAACGCGAAAAAAAAAAAAAAAAAAAAAACCGAATATCCCAGGAGTGCATAACGATACAGGAGGGCGAAGGGTTGAGTGTATTACGAGATGAGCACGCGATGGATACAAGAATGGATGGCCGACAGACTCCAACTACAACAGAGCGAGATGCAATCCGTCGAGCGTTGCTTTAACGAGTGCTACGTCTTCCTCGAAAGCTAATTCTTCTTCGATGGCTTCTTCCTCGAGGCGAAAGACTCCAACCATAGAGCGAGATGCAGAAGGGAAAAACAGCCTACGGTGGAGGGGGATTGACACTCTCGTAGTGTCGCCCCCTCTCACCCAGTGTACCCTTCCTTGGCACGAAAAGTGAAGATGGCGGCGCGACTATGCTGGCTTTGCAGTGTGTGTGTCAAAGGAGCGCGAAAATGGGCGAAACGGCATATCAAGATTTCTACCGTGGAGGTACCCAGCTCCAACTCCTACCGGTAGCATCCCTGTGCCTCCGCAGCTTCCCTCCTCCCCGTGAGCTGGCGCGCCGCAGGAAAATGAGAAAAAGGAGGCTCTGACCTCCCGTGCTGCATGTGCCGCACCCCGCTGGAGGCCTCGTCCCAGCCCCAGCTACAGACCCAGGTCCAGCTGTAGACCAAACCCCCCCAGCCCGCTCCCGCAAGCCCAGCCCTCCTCGCCCACCTCCGCGTCGGCTGTGTGTGGGTTGTGTGTGGCGTATCGTAGAGTGCTGGGCATAGGGCCTTTCCAAAGCACTCGAACTCAAGGGTTGAACGAAAACTCATCTTTCCACCTCATCACGTCCCGAAATGTTTTCACATTTTGTGTTTCAAGGGTGCCCCCCTGAAACTCAAGGGACTTTTTCGCCGGCTATTCTGGTCCAAGGGGGTGGTTCACCTGGAGGGCACCTCAAAACGGCTCCCGGGCCATGGTACCGGGTCCCAACGGGAGGGTAGGGGGCGGTACCCGGTGCTGCGCATACGTCCTTGGCTGAGTAGCTGTTTGAGCCACGGGCCGGGCAGGCTCATACTGCAGCAGCCGCGTATCTACTGCCATGTCCACAGTCACAAGTCGCCTATCCATCATTCCTTGATGGCTAATTTGGCATGTGCTCTACTCTCCGTGTGCCCCTTCCTTGTCCTACGCGCATATGCTTGTGACATACGAGCTCGTAAACACCGAGTTCCATGAGGCACTCATTCTCGTTCACATCTTGTTTTACCAAAACAAGCTCGTCGGATCCGATCCCCGCATCCATGAGAATAATGTGCATGCTGCACACTGCAGCGAACTGTTGTAGGACATTATTCGTATTCTACTTATGGTGTCGTAGCAACGGTGTCCACCACACCCTTATCGACCTTCTATTTTGTATCAAAGAGTGTGTCGTCTTGGCTCTGCTTCATCCCATCGTACGGGAGACATTTTGGCTTTGCTTTATCCAATTGTAAGGGACTCGAACCATGGTATAGGGCAATATCCGTTATCCTCCAAAATATATCTCATTGTCTTCACCTCCTAGGGATAATGACAGGATTGCCCTTGAATAGTTTGCCAACTTTTGCACAGTTGATGTATTCATCAGCTTCCTTGGAAATGTCCTCACCCTCTAGTGCAGTGCACGCTTCTAGGGCAGCCGATGAATATCTCAAGCTTTTGCTTATCTCAGTCTACATGACTTTGACCATGATGGAAAACTATTATTTTTAATCAAAGTAATTACCGAAGATGTGTTTGTAGGCTCCAAAGTTATTAGGGACACCGTTATTCGTAAATGTGTGTGTCACCTATAGCATATGACGACCTGTGAGCATGACAATCTTAGGCTTGTTATAGTATACCAACAGAATGATATTTGTAACATCACTTGTGACATTGATGCCCGTCAATCTTCCTATCCCAAAGAAAAGGGTGTCATTCACGTACATCTCATGAGATGCCAAACTTTAAAGTGCACAAGCAACGACGTAATTTGATTGTAACGACTACTAGCCATGTTCAAATGTCGTTGGAGGTGTGTATACGTTGCAATGATATTGTAGAAGACACATTTGTAGATTCACAGTTTATCACGAAAGTATTTATCCCTCATATTATCTGTTATGCATAAATTCTCTCAAGGGTTGTAAGTCCTCCTCCTCCTCTACCCACGAGGACTCTCTACAAGCAACAATAAGATTCGCTAACAAAAGCGGTGTTTCCCTAACTGCAACAGAACTCAACGAATTGCCACAATAACCTCCCTCTTGCACGCTCTTCGTTGCATTCGTCATCACACAAATGCAATCATTTGCATATATTTATACAGCATCGTCAACCTTCTTATGATGAGACCCTTCTTTCTAATTATCAGTCCCCTTTTAGGCAACATCACCTCCATCTCACATGGAAAGACTTTCGTCGCCTCCTCAAAGAGGTTACGCGGATTATATGTAGGAAATGACTAATGCTTCATTTCACTTGTATTCCTTTTTTGCACTACAAAGCTAGACTGGGCCAAAAACATTACCACGTTGCCACAACCCCTCGTGTATGGAGCTTTGGGCAAAAATGTAAATTTCAACATTTCTGCCTCCTACACCATGGTCACAATATGTTTTATGGTCCCCCGTAGTGCGGATGTTTTCTCGCCCCCACTTAGGTGTGGACATTCCAAGTTGCCCGAAACTACTTAATTATGACACGCTTGAAATAATATGAATATTTAAGTGAAGTGAAACAAGGCCTATAAAAAATTGTTATTACTACTTGGTGGTTACGAGGCAAGTAGATGGAAGTACACCTATTGGCAAAATGCCCAGTCTTTGTATGACCGGACACCCCCATTAGCGTTCTCTTCGTAGGACGAGGGCAATACACATTCCCTTGGTAGTAATAGGTAACTATGCTTACAAAGTACGTTGTATAGGATTAGGTTAGTACATTACAATTGTGGGAAAATGTATTTGATTTTTAACACAATAAGTTTGAGGACACCATACGCCTACAAAGCGGTATGAAAAAACGTGGGGGATTATTTTCACTCTACCCACCGACTCATATCCCTTCGTCACACCGCATGTGTTGTTTTCACCCGACAAACAAAATAACGAAGCCACGAAAATCGAAGGTGGACCTTCATAACAGGCACCCAATGATCCACCACGTTTATTCACTCAAACACCACCAATAAGATTTATGTGTGATGGATCGAGCTTCGATGAATTAATAAAATTCATATAAAAAATGATATAAAGTTTTATTTTCTCTATAATAAGGGTGGCCGGCGTTCGGCATGGATCGAATGCCCGAACGTACGGGATCCCTTAGGAATGCGTTCGAACGCCCAAACGTACGGGATCCCTTAGGGATCCCTATGGATCAAAAGTCCTTACCAAAAAACATATATATATATATATATTAATAAAAAAATAATAAAAAATAAAAATAAAAAATTACAATTGAGTGCGCAAACTTGTTTTCAATACCACAATCTTTGGTGATTTTTCATTATTTTTTGGCATAGTCAAATGCTCTGCAACTTTCCATATGTATACTTCACATAATACAAAACTCACGCAAAAAAAAAAAAAAAATTGAGGCATAAAAATAAAATCATAACAAAAAGTAAAAGGTGAAAAAAAAAGAAAAAATATGAGTGGCCAAGCATTTTTAACATCGTCATCTTTGATGATTTTTTATTTTTGTTTGGCGAAGCAAAATGCCTTGAAAATTTATGTTGGTGTAGCGCATATTCTAAAGAATTTTAAGAAACAAATTCAACAAAATTAAACTATTTTTAGACCTCGAAATATTTTTTAGCGGGGGCCGAACCCCTTCAGGTTCGACCCCCGAACGGGACCACGAACACCCGAACGTTCGGGGATCAGCCCGTGGCCCCCAAAACGTTCGGCCTAGTAACCATGTCTATAATATTATTAACTTGTTTTGAGTCTTTCATTAAATGAATACTATAATTTTAATTAATTTTTATAAAACCATAAACTAAATATTCTGATTCAAAAATATATCAATCTTAAACTCGATCATATAGATGGACGTGAACGGTTTCCTAACAGTTTAAATCTCAATGATTAAGCTAATGTGATCAAATAACTTGAACTATGAAAATTAGTTTAGATAAAAACTTTAAAAACACGTATAAATTTAAGCATGGAATATATTTTTCGTTTAAACTAATAGTCCATTTATGTTACGTCCAACGAACTAGGAAAATAATATTATCCGGACCTAATAAATTTTCACATCACCCATATCATGTTACACCGACTTTGATTGAAATATGCATCCGATTTAATGTTTATATATTTTTTTTAGGTTACTTGGCCGAACGGGGGAAGCCGGTGTAGAATGATATGAGTGACGTCAAAATTTATTAGGTCCTAATAATATTATTTTCTTAGTTCGCTGGACGTAAACATAAATGGACTATTGGTTTAAACGAAAAATATATTCCATGCTTAAATTTATACGTGTTTTCAAATTTTTTATCTAAACGAATTTTCATAGCCCGGTGGTCCGGTGTCCAACAGAGGTCCGACCCCTGCGGAAAATAGGGGTAAGGCCTCTTAGGGGCTTAGGGGGCCGTAGAAGGGCAGTGATTATGTTAAAGGGTCCTGCTGGACCTCGGTCCCCACAGTCCGAGGTTAGCAGACCCTGAAAAAAATAAAACGAAAAAGGTCCAACCTGGACCGTCCAATCGATTTGATCGACGGCCCAGATTGGGTCAGATTCAAATTTGAAATTCAAATCACTGCAGGGGGGTTACCACCCGCCCACGCCCATCGCCACCCCGATGGACGAGCGTGTGCGCTGACGAGGACGCAACACTCCATCCCCGCCATCTCCACCGCCATCTCGAGGTAAGTGTGCACCACAACGCCTCCTCTTCCTCCTCCTCCTCTACATCGTGCTCCCCCTCTTTCGGATTGTCCTCCTGTTCTTCTTCATCTTCTTCTTCTTCTTTTACTTCTTCTCAAATTTGTTCTTCTTCGTCTTTTACTTCTTCTTCGTCGTCGTCCTTGTAGTCCACCTCCATCTTCTCGTCCTCTACCTTCTCCTCCTCCATTTTCTCCTCCTCTATCTTTTTCTCTTCTTCGTCGTCTTTTTTTTTTTTTTTCTTCGTTCTTTTTCGTCGTGTCCTTCTTCAATTTTCTTCTTCGTCTTCTTCGTCTTCTTCTTCTTCATTATTATTCATCCTCCTCCGTCCGCCTCCTCCTCCGTCCGCCGCCTCCTCCGTCCGCCACCTCCTCCGTCGTCCTCCGCCCCTTACAATCAATCAATCAATCTACTTTTTTTTTTTTTTCTTCCGCCC